TGGGCTTCATGAGCCCCTTCCCCCCACCAGAAAAGGTGTCACAATTTTCATTTAATTTCCCTATAAATATTCATGCTTTATAACCCATGTGATTCTACCAAAGCTCGCCGGATTGATGTGGTTCATTGACCTTGAATTTACTAGAGCAGTTTGAGTCCGTAGTAACCACCTGGCAAAGGAAAGCGATGTTTTGGAGTCCAGTCAAGTTGCCCTGAGTTACTGTGTTGACGGTGGGACTAGCACAGATCACATTCAGACACTGTTCTAAGTCTCTTGCGCTTGCACACACCATGACAAATTTAATCCTCATAACAACCCTATCAGGTAACTATTATTATAATCATTTCAAAGAAAACAAGGAAACAGACTCTTGTTTGCAATCAGATAGCTAAGCGAGAGAGCTGAGAGTCAGGCTCAGTAAGCCTTGCTGGGGGGGTCTGCTTTTCCAATGCTATATTACCTCCACGAATAACACACAGCTCCGGCTAAGAACATCAGGCAGAAGAAGAATGCACCCTTTCACAACTGATAATCCTAGGCTTTTGGGTTTCTCGTCCTGCCATGGTACACAGCATTACTTGGTACAACCCAGACCCAGAGGCCCCCAGTCTCCTCCCTGGCTATATTTCTACTTCACCATGGAGAGAGCGATTCCTTTCGCTTGGCCTGATTCAACTTACAGCAGAGTCCTCGGCAGCCTTCTCGGGAAACCAGTTCCCTGCCTCCCTGGTGACCCTGGCTGGTGAAATCAGTGAGGCTGCTTTCCTACGGTGCTGGGATTAAAGGCGTGCGCCACCACCGCCCAGCTCCTACGGTCTACTGTACTAGGACATTTCAGCAGATAGAAACCACTTACGCTAAAACGCAGAGCTGAGAAAAGAGTAGAGGGGAGTAGAGGAAGCTAATTCCCCAGGGTGGGAGGGTGGGATGGAAAAGTAGTTCCGCTTGCCCTTGGTGACTGGGGGCCTTACCCACAAGGGTGTGCTGCTGGAAGTCTGTCTGCCTTCTCTAGTCTTCCAGTCTCACAACTTTGGAGCTATTTTTCTTCCCTTTCTAGGCAGATGCTTTCTCATCAATTAGGAAACACTGCCATCCTGTGGCTATGCGTTGATATATGCTCCAACCTGCAAATTGCTGAAATTTCAATGACATTGTTTAATGATTAAACCAAAAGAGCACACCTATTGAGTCTGAAGGAAAAGAGCACACCTATTGGCTGAAGGAAAGCCAGAGTGACCTTGTAAAGAAGGATGCTCCTGGAGTCTTCAAAGAACAAACAAACAAACAAACGAAAAGACACCTGCATTCGTCTCTGTGAACTCTGACTTTGCTTATAAAAATCTAGCCTAAGCCTCTAGCGATTCTGGCGGCAAAGATGTCATCTACTCCCAGCCACCGTTGTTTAGAATCCTACTCACGGTGGCTCTGCTTAGACGCTGCCCTTTGCAGGGAAGTTCACATCAATCTGTCTCCAGGCTATTTCCCTAGGCTAGAGCAGGCTCTGTTTCCACTCCTAGGTCTGTTCGCCCTGTATCCTCCCACGGTAGGCTAAACCTAAATTCAAATATTTCCGCTTTCTTTTTTGAAGCTGAACGATTTGGGGGGTATGTCAGCTAAGTCTTTAAGCATCAGTTACTCCATCTGTTTGTAAAGTGGGATAGCAACTTCATCATAGGGCTAATGTAAGAATGAAATGACAAAGTGTGTGTGTGTGTGTGTACACTGCCTGGAACATCACAGGTCTTGGTAGTAGGAAGTCATATTCCCCGTGAGGGCTTGCTAGTATTGTCCATTAGAGGCCCAGTGATTTGATGTCGGAGATTTACAGGATCCTCAGCAACAAATCCGAGAATGGAAGAACTCTTTCAGGCTTTAGAGACCACCGTTATTTTCACGCGTGGGCAGCCGGCCGAGCACGGATTGCAACCCGGCTCTTCTTGCGTGCGCAGTCGGCTGCAGGTGCGTGGGCGTGAGCCCCCGCGGCGCCGGGATGGGCGGGGCGCGGCCACTCATTCCTCGCGGTTCCCTATCCAGGACTGGGGGTTGCGTGTGGATAATTCAATCCCCGTGGGACTCGGCGTCAGGCCTCGGCCCAGTCTCGGTGGATTGGCTGTCTCGCTTGCCCCCGCCCTCGGTACTCACACCCCCACCCCCACCCCGTGTCCCAGGTGGCTCGGGCCCCTGTGGTGATCTCTGTTTACGGAGAGAGCGGGTCCAAGTTGGGCTCCATCTCTGCACTGGCTGGCGGCTCGGCAGAAAACTGCTTGCCAGGAACGCGCGGAGAAAAACCGGCCTAACCCACCTTCGCCCTGTCCCTACTCCCAACGCCGGGAGAGGTCGGGTAAGAGAAAGAGGGTGCGGGAAGGAGGAGCCTTGGCCTGGGGGATCCTGCTGTTCCCCCATTCCAGGACCTCACGCGCACCCAAGACTTCTATCCCTAGGCCTGGTTCCCGCGCCCATGCTCGGGGCGACGTGCTCACCCTGGGCGAGCAGCCCGAGGCTGGATCTCAGGGACGTCAGCTCCCTAGCGGAGGCCCAGGCGTGGAGACTTCATTCACAGGTGTCTCCCCACCCCAGCAGACGGCGATGACCCCCAAGCCGGCCGGACCCCCGGACGGGGGCTGGGGCTGGGTGGTGGCGGCCGCAGCATTCGCCGTGAACGGGCTCTCCTACGGGCTCTTACGCTCCCTGGGCCTTGTCCTCCCCGACCTCGCGGAGCACTTTGAACGAAGCGCCCAGGACACTGCGTGGGTCAGCGCCCTGGCCTTGGCCGTGCAGCAGGCAGCCAGTGAGGGGGGGCCCCGAGGTGGGAGGCGGGAACCGGGTGGAGAGGCCGTGAAGGTAGTGATGGGAGACAGCAGACTTGATTACCAGACAACCTGAGAGCTACTGGTGGAACCAAGTTCTAGAAGAGTGGGTCTTGAGGTCAAAGGGAGGAGTTACCAGGCCAAGCAAAACAGCCAATGAGAAGTGTTGGAGATAGTTTGGGGGTCCCGGGGCATGTCTTCGTTGACTTCGCCCCCTTCTAGGCCCAGTGGGCAGCGCCCTGAGCACTCGCTGGGGGGCACGCCCCGTGGTGATGGTTGGGGGCGTCCTAACCTCGCTTGGCTTGGTCTTCTCGGCTTTCGCCCGAAGCCTCCTACATCTCTACCTCGGCCTGGGCCTCCTCGCTGGTAAGAAGAATGGGATGCTCATAATGCTTCAGGGATGATAATGCAGACAGGAGCTTCTTGTGGGGTAGGGGGCCGAACAAAGCGCTGTGTGTGTGTGTGTGTGTGTGTGTGTGTGTGTGTGTGTGTTCGTGCACATGGAGTAGAGAAGCAGGGCTAAGGAATGCTAGGAAAAATCATCCTCGTACCCCTATCCTGTCCTATCCATTTGCAGGTTCCGGCTGGGCCCTGGTGTTCGCCCCTTCCCTGGGTACCCTCTCTCGGTACTTCTCCCGCCGTCGGGTGTTGGCGGTAGGGTTGGCGCTCACCGGTAATGGGGCATCCTCGCTGCTCCTAGCACCTGCCTTGCAGTTCCTCCTTGATACTTTCGGCTGGCGGGGTGCCTTGCTCCTCCTTGGCGCTGTCACCCTCCACCTCACACCCTGTGGCGCCTTGCTACGACCCTTGGCTCTTTCTGGTGACCCTCTAGCCCCACCTCGAACTCCCTTAGCTGCCCTTGGCTTAGGTCTCTTCAGGCGCCGAGCCTTTACAATCTTTGCTTTGGGCACTGCCTTGATTGGGGCCGGATACTTCGTCCCCTACGTGCACTTGGGTCCGCATGCTTTAGATCAGGGTATGGGGGGTTACGGGGCAGCGTTGGTGGTGGCTGTTGCCGCAGTGGGAGATGCGAGTGCCCGACTGGTCAGCGGATGGGTTGCAGACCAGGGCTGGGTGCCCCTTCCGCGCCTTCTGGTTGTGTTTGGGTCTCTGACTGGGTTAGGGGTACTGGCAGTGGGACTAGTGCCCACTGGGGAGACGGAGGAGGGTTGGGGGGCTCCCCTGCTAGCCGCGGCTGGGGCCTACGGCCTGAGCGCTGGGAGTTATGCCCCACTGGTTTTCGGTGTGCTCCCGGGGCTGGTGGGCATTGGAGGTGTGGTACAGGCTACAGGGCTGGTGATGATGCTGATGAGCCTCGGGGGACTCCTGGGCCCTCCCCTGTCAGGTAAGGGCTGAGTCTGAAGATTCGCTCAAGATGTCTGCCCCTGGGATGCCAGGCCTCTAAATTCCTTTATCCCTCTTCTCAGGTTTCCTAAGGGATAAGACAGGAGACTTCAGTGCCTCTTTCCTGGTGTGCAGCTCTTTCATCCTCTCTGGCAGCTTCATCTACATGGGGCTGCCCAGAGCCCTCCCAACCTGCCGTCCAGTCTCACCTCCACCTACCCCTCCCCCTGAGAGAGGGGAGCTGCTCCCAGTTCCACAGGCCTCCCTGCTCTCGGCAGGGGGCGCTGATCCCACCCGGGAAACCACTTGTTGATCGTTTTCTTGTTTGAGCCCCTTCCCTAATAAAGGCTTTTTATCTGACTCTGTTGAAAAGCAACAACAAAAACAAAAAACCATCTGAAAGCAACAGGGCCCCAGGGGCCCTGGTGGTGAGGAGGATGCTGATCGAGACAGTTTTCCTTTGCTCAAATCCTTGCCTTAAGAAGGTCTTTAAGAAGTTGTGAGCTTATCAGTTTCAGTTTGCTGACGGGCATATCTAAATTTCATACTTCAAATGTTTATTTATGTGGGTTTGTGGTAGCCAGATCTCTTGGAGATCTTGGAGCTGGACTCCAGGCAGTTGTGAGCTGGACTCCAGGCAGTTGTAAGCTGCCTGGTGTGAATGCCCTGAGCCAAACAGGTCACCACAAGGAACAGCAATCTGCTGAGTTCTCTCTCCAGACCTGCTTTTAAAAAGGTTGATTTTTATTTATGCTATGTGTGTGTGTTTGTGTGAATGTATGCCACATATGTGTGGGTGTCCACAGAAGCCAGAAGAGGACATCGGATCCCCTGAATCTGGATTAATAGGTGGTTGTGAGCCACCATGTGTGGGTGGCTTTGGCCCTCTGGAAGAGCAGGAAGTGCTTTTAACTGCTGAGCTTATTATTTTTTTTTTCCAGCTCCCAAACTTCATGCTTTTTCTTGCATTTTGATCTGCCTTTGTTAGTCTAAGAGAAACAAAAACCCATCGGTATGGTTGTGAGCACCTGTAATCCCAGTACTTGGGTGGAGGCCAGGTCTCAAGTTCAAGAGCAGCCTGAGCTACATGGTGAGGCTCTGTCTCAAAAGTACAAGAATCTTAGGTTGCAGCTTCTGCTCCCAAGCCGCCTTCCTCCACACACAGACTTTTCTCTTCGTTTTCTTCCCTCTGTATCACAGGAGTGGTGGAGAAGAGGGAGGGAATGGACGGGAGGGAAGAACTCTGGGTCAGCAGGCTCACGGACATCTCTGCTCCTTTGTTCAGCGGTGACCTGTTAGCTGCCCCAAGCACCTGGACCTCCAGTTCTTTTTGAGGTTACAATTACTGTTCAGTTTCCTTATTTGCTTTATATCCAAGCGAGACCAGAAATCACATATAAAACATGAGAAGACTCTTGGCCTTTGATTTTCAGATTTGATTCAGAACTCAGTGGGCTGAGATCTCCTGGATCCTTCAGAAAAGTTGGGGAGAACAGAGGAGGTGATGTGAAAGTCATCAACAAAATACAGAGGGTTGGCACATCAATCGCGGGAACCCCAGGTCTGCTCTGGTGGAGGCAGATCAAGAATCCTAAGGCACTGTGTTTCTGAGGACGCCTTGACGGGGCAGAGGACCTGGTGCTGTCAAGCTCCGGCTTTCCATGACCACTACCTCCTGGTGGAGTTCAGTCCTCTCCCAAGCCCTCCTCCTTGGGCAGGGGAATTTTGGTCTCGGGTGCCTCTATTACAAGGTCCTGGGGTCTGGAGGTAGAAGCTGAGATGCAGGAGAAGAAATGGGGCAAGGTGATAAGAACTCCACTCCCTGCAAGAAGGAAGGCCCCAGCCACCATAAAAGAAGCCATGTAGTTGCCTGTCACATCCCGGAGGTAGCCTGGGTCCAAGACAGAAAAAGAAACACACATGGGTGACCTGCACACTGGGGCTAATGGCCTAGATCCCACTTGGGGGCAAAGGAAGATCCATTGTCTTAGAAGAGATGCAATTCCCAAGGTAAGACGGAATGAATACGAGACTCTGGTTTCTCAACAGCCTCCCTGTAGGGAGAGCAGCCTGTAGGTATTTGGGGAGCCATGTTAAGTCAGGCGGATCTGTGTGGTTTCTTCCTACAGCAGTGCCTCTTCTAAACCTTCAGTTAATAGTTAAGAAGGAGGTGTTTAAAGATCAGAAGGTTCTAGCATCTTGAGCTTGGAGACCTTTAACCAGACATTTGGGCAGGGGCCCAGTGGGTCAAAGGGAAAAAAAGACAATGTTAGGTCAGGCTAGGTCTTCTAAAAACCCAGCCTGCAGTTCATTGGGTTGCTTTTTGTCTTCCCACTCAGACCTTCTCAGACCCAAGTTCTGTCCTCCTGCGAACCCACCTCAGGGCTGTGAGGATTGGCTCTGCAGACTGTATGCTGTAACATACTAGAGGGCAATATTAACATATGCCATATGTTAGTATGTGGGGATAGTTCCTTCCTCCGATTATGCAGCATAACATCCCTGGCCCAGCTGGCAGCCCCATTCCTCTTACCTGAGAGAGGTGCTCCCAATAGCCCCCCGATGCTCTCTATCATCTGTACCAGTCCCAGGCCACAGTAAATCCTTGCCGTCCCCACCAGCTCAGGAAGCACGGAGAAGGCCACTGGGGTCAGGGCCCCTGACGTGAAGCCGTAGGCCACAGCCAGAACCACCAGGGTTGTGGGAGCCTGAGCCACAGGGAACAGGGCTAGTGACACCCCAGTCAGGGTGGTCCAGAGCATCAGCAGTCGTACCACAGGCCCTGGAACTGCATCTCCCAGCCAACCAGAGGCGACCCGGCCCACGAGGTCAGAAATCGCAGCCACCGAGAGTAGGAAGGCAGCAGGCAGTGGGTCCCAGCCCAGGTCCTGCAGATGCGCCACCAGATGGACGTAGGGAATGAAGTAGCCAGTGTTGATCAGAGTAAGGGCAACAGTGTAACGGAGGAAGGGGCCATGATGGAGGAGGGAGGTGAGCTGGGCCCCAGGGCCACCCACGGAAGAGTCTTCAGTCAGGGAGAGTGGGCGGAGGAGAGCACCGCAGGCCATCAGGTGCAAGGAGAGGGCAGACACTAGCAAGAGGGCTCCCCTCCAGGCATACTTGCTTATCAGCCACTGGAAGAGGGGGGCAAATGCAAAAGAAGAGAGACCCACTCCAGTCAATGCCAGCCCCATGGCCAGAGATCGACGTCGAGAGAAGTAACGGGAGAGGCAGGCCAGGGTCGGAGTGAAGGTCAGGGCCCAGCCAGAGCCTGCCAAAAAGAAAAAAAAGGGGGGGGTGGCTGTGGACTTTGGGGGTGCTCAGAACACCCAGTAATCCCAATACTACCCAGCAGAAGACCAGCCCCTGCTTTGGATTCCACAGACCTGGGTATTTTAGTGCTGGTTTTGATACTTTCTAGCTGTGTGACCTTGCCTGTTCTGCTTAATCTCCCAGGCTCAGTTACTTAATCTGCAAAATGGGGTTAACACACTTTAGGGCAGTGGTTCTCAACCTTCCTAATGCTGTGACCCTTTAACCCAGTTCCTCATGTGGTGGTGATCCCCCCAACCATAAAATTATTTTCGTTGCTACTTCATAACTGTTATTTTACTACTGTTACTGTTATGAATCGTAATGTAAATATCTGATATGCAGGATATCTGAATGCAGCCCTTGTGAAAGGGTCGTTCAACTCCCAAGGGGGCACAACCGAAAGGTTGAGAACCCCTGCTTTCTGGGATCTGGGAAGACAAGAGATAATGCTCCTAAAATAACTAAAACAGAGCTTTGGAATTAGAGCCCCAACTCTACCATTTCTGGCTGCATTAAACTTCCTTTACCCAGGTGTATACACATCGAAAAGCGTTGTAAGCTTTATTATTATTATTTTAAAATAGGCCAATGATATTTCTATTTCAGTCGATACCTAGCACAATCTTAAAGAAATTCTCCCACTACACTCCATTCTGATGGGTTTGGGCTTGTAGTAGTTTCTGGATTCATTATCTTTGATTTAGTCATTCAGTTTAAGAATTCCCTTCAGGGCACAGGTTCTCCCTAAGCCTTTCTGGACAGAGGTGGAAGAAGGTGAAAATCCGGAGGCTTAAGATCTAGGCCTTGGCCTTCTGCCCTTGCCCAGGGTCTCACCTGACAGCAGCCCAATACTCAGGTATAGGTGGGTCAAGGAGGTAGCAAATGAAGCAAGCAGCATTCCCAGCGCAGCCAAGATGCCCCCAGTCATCACCACAGGCCTGGGCCCCAACTTCGTGCTCAGGGCACTGCCTATTGGGCCTGGGGAATTGGAAGGGGTTCTGCGAGGTGGTCTCCGCCGTCCTCCCACAGCATCCTCCCGACCCTTCGCCTTTCCCTGTTCTGGTTCCCAAATTCCCTCTTTTCCGAGGGTCGTAGGCCACCGCACCCAGGCGCAGCACTCACTCCCAAACTGCTGCACCGCGATCCCTATGGAAGCGATCCAGGAAACTCTGGCTGCCTGTTCCTCAAACGCCGCCACAAATTCCACGAAGAAGACACCGAAGGACCGGAGCACCCCAAATACGAGCGCCGACTGGAAGAACGCTGAGAGCACCACCATCCATCCCCAGCCCCCGTCGGGGGGCTCAGCCCTGCGCGCCATTCGGAAAGGAACAAAGCTGCAGCCCCTGAGAGCCCTTGCGAGATCAAGGCTTCAAACCGCCCACATTGACCAACCCACCCCGCAGGACGCTCGGGCGTCGAAATGTGGCTGGTCGCTAGGAAGTTACTGAGAAAGCATGGGGCGCCTGCGCCTTTCCCTCAAGAGGAGGGAGGTCTACGAGCTGGGACCTGCCACTGCCACCGATTAGCCCGCAGCTAGAATCCAGACCCGTGCCAAATGATTTCTTTAGAAGCTAGAGAATAGAACTGGGTTCGAGCCACAACCCCAAGGAAAGAGTCTGGTTAGGGATTGTGTTATCTTTGAGGATTCAGCACCTGCCTAAGTGGGCCAACATCCAATCCCAAACTCGCCAATTAGGCTGCAGGTCTCCGGAGCAGGGGGTGGGTCCGGAGGGGGTGGGCGGGATTTACAGCATTGTTCTGAACCTGCAGTGAGAGGGGCGCATGCGTAAGGAGGGACTAGCCAAAGATAGGCCCCACGTGACAAGGGACCTACGGGGAGGGTTCTGTGGGTGCTGGGATCATTCACTTTTCAAGACTTGCCTCTGAGAGCTGGTGGTGGATAAACTGGTCCTGGCCAGGCAGGAACCCACTTGCTTAGTGAGGCATCCAAGAATTGCCAGGGAGCGTGGGTACGAAGGGATAGGTTATGAGGTAAGAGTAAAAACTGATAGTACCTGGGGCGGCTAGCAAAGCTTTGGAAACTCTAGACCGCTGGGTCTGAGAGGAACAGAGGCAGAGGGAAGACGGGAGAGCCCAGCCTGTTATTCCAGCTGTTCCAGAGGCAGAGGTAAACTCATGGGTCAGCGTGGGCAAACCTAAACCCTGTCCCAAAATTTTAAAATAATTAAAGGTAGTACACAGTTTTGTGTAGATCCCGGTTCAATCCCTAGTGCTATGTTAAGGGGAGGGGGGGCAGACTTGTTGGACTCCTGGCATTCATTTCTGTAATGAGGATTCGTTCCCATAGACAGGAAACTTGTAGGTCACCGAGACCAAAAATAACGGGGAAGAGGAAGGGCGGCCATCAGACCATCCAGAGTTGCCCAGTACCACCTACCCTTTCCTCCGCAGCGCTGGAAACTTTCCCTGTGCCTTCTAGTAATGGCCTTTCCCTAACCAGTTTTTGATCTCAGACTGTGTAGGAGACATGCCATAGCCCCGGTCACTGGAGCAGTCAGCCTCCTACGTTTCGCCAGGCCACTAGCACGCCCTCACCTCATGACAGCAATGGCTTGGGCTTTTCTGTTCCTTTATTGTGTACCTCGGGCTCCCCAGGACTCTGACCTTGAAACCTTGGGTTCAGAATTCATATCCAGACCAGTGGGGAAGGAGGCAAAAGAGGGGCATGGGCCAAGGAACTATGCTTTTAAGAAATACTGTAAGGGCTGGAGACATGGCTCGTCGGGCTTTTCAAAGCAGCAGGGTTCAACTCTTGCCTGCACCCACACTGGTCAACACAGTGGCCTGTAACTCCTGTTCCAGGGGATCTGACACCCTCCTCTGGCCTCCACAGGCACTGTACCCATGTGGGTCACTTAAATTCACAGGGGCAAAGAAACTCAGGCCAGCCTGGGGGCTGGGGGACATAAGTTTGTCTCAAAGACCCAGGGAGGGGCTGGAGAGATGGCTTAGCAGGTAAAGTACTTGCTTTGGGAGTCTGATGTCCTGAGTTCAATCCCTGGAACATACAGAAACATGGAAAAAGAGAACTGACTCCACAAAGTTGTCCTCTGACCTCCACATGTACACATGCTATGTACATGTACACAAAACACCATACATATATGCACAATAATAAATTAGCTCATTAAATTTATAAAACTAAAAGCCCCCTTCCTAAACCCAAGAGGTTTTTGGTTTAACATGTGGAAGTCCCCAGGTTCAATCCTTTGCACCAAGCAAAACCAAACCAAACCATATTTTTTTCAGTTGCATAGATGGAAAACGAAATAACTGTACCAAAACACTATGGGTCTGCAGTCTTGTTATAAGTAGACTCATAAGAAGGGATCTGCCAGTGGTATAGGAAATAGTCGGATCTCAGGAGTCAAGAGTCCAGTCTTGAGATCTCTAGATCCAGGGCACAGTCCCAACCTTGACTTTATGACCTATTTTGTTTTTTAGATTTATTTATTACATATACAGTGTTCTGCTTCCATGTATACTTGCAGGCCAGAAGAGGGCACCAGATCTCATTACAGATGGTTGTGAGCCACCATGTGGTTGCTGGGAATTGAACTCCAGACCTCTGGAAGAGCAATCAGTGCTCTTAACCTGAGCCATCTTTCCAGCCTGACTTTATGACTTATTACTTGGTCAAAATAGTTAATTTCTCAGTTGGTTTCCTCACCTGTAAACTGGGGAGAATACTTCCTACTTTTTAGGGCCGCCCAGAGTTAAATGAGTAAGTCTGCACTAGAATGCTTTATTTAGGATCTGCCATTCAATAGGCGGTAATAGTAGCTGGTCTTATTTTCAGTGGGGGACAAGCTAGAATGGAAGGTCATGGGGACTTTTGCTGTTTTATTTTTCAAGTATAACCTAGGTTATAAAAGAAAGAAAGAAAGAAAGAAAGAAAGAAAGAAAGAGAAACTTAAGCAGTCCCTAAACTAGATTATCAGGGAGAACATCAGACTGAAGCACAATCACACTCACCTTTGCCACAGGTGAGGCAATGTCCAGAGGGAGGCAACATTAGAATCAGTGACTTTTAGCCTTGGACTAGAAAACACCTGTTCACCCTGGACACACAGGTCAGGGGGAAAAGACTCATGTATTGGACATTAGCTAGATCCCAAGATATTAGGGCTGGGAGATGAGCAGGCACACGGGCACTAACGTACTCGGCCTTCTCCTAGCTGCTCTGACTCGCCTCTGTTGTTTAGGGGACCCGAGCCCTACCCCTTTTCTCTGGTGATGGTGTGAGGGGTGCCTGGATCACAAGAACCCGTGCTTGCAGATACATTTCCCAGGCTCTTGCTTTCCTACTTTCTCTCTGCAGCCTCCACACCTCGGCCAGGAAGTGACTTCAGACCAGCAGGATGCAGGTGGCTCCGGATAAGCTTCGTGAAGTCACTGGTTCCTACACAATGAGCCGGAAGGCTAGGGCAGGGAAGGGAGAATAAGGACCATTGAAGAGGGCAAGTGGGACACAACAGCGAAATGAACACAGAATCCAAGTTGTTATTTTTTTTGGAACCGCTTTCCAAGTTCCCAGGTGACCCTCCCCCCACAAACAAGCTAGGACACAGAGGGCAAGAGAGGCTTCTTTATTCCATGGATCTGATCTTGCAGGATCGAACATCTCATGCTGGCACTTCCCACATGCCCATCCAGTCTGCTGAACAGAAACCGTAATACCTTCGCAATATCTCCTCTGCTCCCCCCCCCCCTTCGATTCTGTATTCAGGTGATGGGGAAGGGAAGGGAATGGCTTTCTCACCAGCCCCCAGCCGACGGCTTAATTCCTTACAGATTCAAGTCTTCTTACCCAACTCCTATCATCAAATAAGGTCCTGGGGCAGCAAGAAGCAGGACTACAAATCGAGGCTCCCGAACATCATCTAACATTCCAGACACTCCATCTAACCAAGGAACTCCATCCCTAACATTTTTATCTGCATGGCCTACACCAGAATCTGCAGCCCTCGGCTAACCTCATGCACCATCTGGCAACCTGTTCACATGGGAGGGGTCTTTGGCCAACCCATCAACCAGGCTTTGAAAGCCTTGAAACATGTAATTCCAATGACAGTCCTCAATGACCAGCATGGAATTCAGCCCCTTTGTCTCCCGTGTAAAGTCCAATGTCACAGACAGGAACATAGTGGAGGAAGACTGAGTCACAGACCCAGACTCTCAGGTAAGAGAATTACCAAGCACCCATGAAACAGGAAATTTTTAGAATCTGGTCACTTTCCAGAAGCTGTCCAAAACCAAAACAAAACAAAAAAAAAACACATTCAAAGACGAAGGGCATATTGAACCCCAAGGAACATTTGCTGCAGCTTCTCCTGCAGCAAAGGATGGGTCAGACTGGTAGTCAAGGCAAGGAATGGCATGAATTCTCCCTAGGTCGTGACATTCTCAGGAACTGAACAGATAAGAACAGGTTCTATAATCTCTGGTACAGATCTTTAGCTCTCTCCCCATGAAAATACTAATTCAACCTCAGTGGGAGGATCATGGGCTCAGCTCAGACCCTGAGGCAGACTCTGAGAGATGGGCACAGTGCATTCAAACCCGGGTGGAAAGAGCAATGGTTCAGTTTAGCTGCTATGCTTTCTAGCCGGAGAGACTACCCACCTCCATTTAGAATGATGAGGAATCTAGGCCCCACTTTCCCAGCCTTCAGGAGGAATTTATTATCAACATTTTGTGTTCATCTAAAAAGGTACCCATCACCCTCGAAGAGCTGAACGTTCTCTTTCCATGTCTGGTCTGCTACCGGACTTGCACCATCCAGAATACCAGAGAGGATTCCTTACCCAATCTTACATGTTCTCAGGGTCTGCCCTAGGAAAGCAAAAGGTCGCATCCTAGAACTGAAGGGACAAACCAACAAGCAAACAAACAGAAAAAGGACGATTCCAGAGAGAACGGTTACAAGGAAAACAACGCGAGACACTCATGTCAAAGGAGAGAGCCAAGTGCTAGGAAGCCCTGCCAGCAGAGCGGGGCCCTCACCTTCCGTGTCTCGGAAGATGGAAGTCGGAAAAGCAAGCAGAACGAAGGCCCTGGGGCCACCCACGGGCCTTAATAAATTATATTTACAGATAAACCATTTGGAGTGAGGGAGGGGAGTAGGGGAAGGTTCCCGGGAAGAGAGCAAGCCCCCTGCGTCTCTCCTTTCCCCCAGCCCCTAGCTATCCAACCTGGATTGTGAGGAAGAGGTTTTGACCAGCAAAACAGAGGCAGATCTAGCCAGGATCTGCCACCCCTGCTCTCCTCAGTACAAAATTAGGTGACGAGTTCCTGATACCAGAGTGGCCTGGCACACTCATATCAAGACTGCCAGGGAAGCCAAGCCTGG